AATCAAAATTTTTGTTGGCAAGGGGAAACCAAGAATATTCACGTGAAACTCATTTTATTGAGCTATTAGCTAGAATATCTAGAATAAATATTTAGATACAGAATAGAACCTAAAATACCTTTGAGCTATACTTGTGTATGATACTACAAATCTTTTATGAATTCTAGTTATATATTTTACTGCCAACTCACCTCTACCACTTAGGTGTGTTACAGAAATCTCAGTTTTAATCAGATGAACACCCAAGGTTATTTTTTTCTACCAAACTATCATCATCTAGCTGATCAGATCATAAGTCTAGAAGTCATCCTTTATTCCTTTCTTACCATAGTATCTGATCTGTATAAATTCTTTTGGTGTACCTTTAAAATCAAGCCAGACAGGGCCACTTCTTACCACCAGCACCATACCGGTATATGGTACCATGAACCACTAGAGAAACTCATAGTTTCTTTCCTTCTACACTGAAACTTATACAGCCTAATCACCACAAAGTAACCAGAGTGAGCCTTTTAAGTCTTAAATCATGCAAACTGGAGGGGGTGGGGGGGAGTTCTGGAACTCTTCTATAAAACAATATTCCTGTGGATAAAAATACTGAATAGTATACTTAAAAGCTGTTGGGAAACAAAAAAAGACAAATAAGTTTACTTCACTTGGACAGACATACTTTTGAAACTTGTATACTTTTGCTTCAGCATCAAATAAACTCTGCTAAAAATGGGGGGGAAATCCACCTTAAATCGAATCACAAGTCACTGCCATCAGTCTTAAAACAAGACACAACTCCATTATATGATTTGTAGAGTGACCTCTCCTGCACAAAACAATGTGAAAATGGCACACAAAGATGCAATACCCATCTTATTATCTGGCGTCTGTCTACCTCTCACACTTCATTTCCTACTGTTTGGCCCTCACAAACTCCACTCCAGACACACACATTTCTCATTGTTTCTGGAGCACATTTTAGTCTCGGAGACTTTATACTGCCCTTCCCTTCTGTCTGGAATGCTCTTCCTCGAGATAGATATGTATTTATATTATTTAATTTTTGCTCATTTATCCTCTCTAAGGTAATCCAACCTCACTGCCCTCACTCTTTATACTGTATTATTTAATTAATGGCAGTTAACACTATGTGATATTACTTATTCATTTACTTATTATCTTTTTTGCACATGAAAATCAAGCTTCAGTTTGTTAAACACAACAAGACATTGTTGTATGTAGCATTATGATCCCTAAGACAATGGTTGGCAGATTTATCAACAAATTTTGATGAACAAATGCATGATGGAGCTTCTATGTGACTACAATGACCATGCAATCTAACTTCATCTCTAGTATACACAGTGTAATTAAGGAAAGTGGATTTAGGTCGTATCTGAATCTTCTACTTTAAGAGTACTAGTAAAAAACTGCAGTAGTTGCAGAATATTTAACTTTTGGCACTGATAAACCATTAAACCAGAAACTATTCTAAACATACAACCTGCTCTAGCAATTTCAGCCCATTTTTTGCAGCAGAAAGGGAAAAAGCCAGGTGAATTCTCAGAGTATATTTATAAGTGTGATGCCTGGCTTCTATTTTATTTGGGCTTCTAAATGATATAAGCAACTTGAACAAAATAGAAGCCAATTAATTGCAAATGTCAGGAGAAAAATGTAATCTGAAATTATTGTGTCCTGATTTTCAAAAGACATATATTTAATTAGATATTGAGAAGCAGCTACACATACATAGAAACAAAGTATTTATGTACATTATTTACTAGTGCTCCAATTTCTATTCAATATAAGTGTACTGACATTCCCAAATAACAAGTTAAAACTCACTTAAGCCAGGGAAAAACTATGCACTCCACAAACACCATCTTTGTTTTATTGGTGTATACTGACTACACACAATAAGGAGATTCATCAAGATACTTCCATATGTGCACATAATGTACTTTGATCATCTTCATAACTGCTTTTTATTATATGTGACAAGCTTCTTCAGAGCTTTTATGTCATATGCCAGACATATGATTAAAGAGACTTGACACTTCATTTCTAACACCTTGATTTACTTTTGGGTAAAGTTCATAATTCTGAAAAAAAATCTCAAATTACTAAAATCCAAGCCCAAAAAGGATCACATGAGGGTTATACAAGAAATTATTTGAAATGGCAGTCAAAACCCCATTTTTAAAATCTCTTTCTTTGATATTTTTCTGTATTTCTCTATTCTTATGTTTTAGGTTGAACAAGACAACATCTAAAATAGTGACTAGCAAACAGCAGATGATCAATAAATACATCATTACGGGTGGATCAAAGAAGAATTATTATACTTACTGCACAAAATATTCATTTGTTATAAAACAACAGCTTATGAGGAAGAAATAAAAACAGCAGATAGGACTGGAGGTGTGGTTCCAGCAGCAGAGTGTCTGCTTTGCAAATTAGAAGCCTTGAGTTCAAAACACAGTCCCACCAAAATGAACAAAAAAAATTATTAAAAATAAATCTAATTCAATATTCCCTCCTATGTTTAAAGTGTTTGGTATTTAAGTATAAGAAACTCCTATTTCGTTGAAAGATACATTTCGAATTTCAAACACTCAAGTTTGTAGCAATTTTATTAGAAACAACTTTAAATTATGTTTCTCACTTACTTTGTAATCTTAAAAATAAGTGTTTAATGTAAGTTAAAAATTGTCATCTTACTAGCAATATCAATCCCATTTTAATGAAAGATAAAAATGGTATTAGCAAATTTCATTATATGTATCAGCCACCCATATCTCTGATGCAGTAACTGCTTACTGCAGAAATAATTTTTCTCCAAACTATGTAGAATATATTTCCACTGAATGATAATCTGATACGAATCTAGACCTTCAAACCTTATTGTTAAAAGATTTAGGGCTTTTAAATGATCCTTAGGAATTCACAGGAAATGATTTTTAAAAAATCACATTACAAAGTTACCCATTTCAAAATTACAAGCAACTCAACTTTGCTTCATTTCTGGTCAACTAATAAACTACTCAACCTTGCTTCATTCCTTTAATGCTTGCATGAGTAAATGTGGTTTTGTTATCTCTATGACCCAAGGCTCAAACTCACATAGATTAAATAACCCACTTGTACTTGTGACTTGAAGTAATTGTGACAGTACAAAATAGAAGATTTTAAAAATCTTTGAGGCACTGGTGGAGTGGCTCAAGTGGTAAAAGCAGCTGCCTAGCAAGCCTGAGGTCCTGAGTTCAAAACCCCAGTGCCACCAAAAAAGAAAAAGAACCAATCAAAAATCTCTGACTTAAAACTCCTTCAAGTTCCTTCAACCTCTAGAACTCTATGCTGCTTTAAGTTTGGGTGCATTCCAAATAGCCTCAGCAAACTGGCTCATAATGAAACCATGCAAGTAACTAGAAAGACTGAGTAGCCCTGGAGTAGAAATAGTTACTGATCTGTGAACAGGTGTACTTCCAAAAAATGCTGAATGTAAATCTCTTTCTATACCTATTAATAACTAAAATTCAATATTTAAGATAGCAGGAATACTGAACACTAGGTGTCAGTGTAAGAAATGGAAAAATATTTTTAAAAACCTGTTGTTTCCAATCAGGTGTATAACAAAAAAAATCAAAAGCAGCTGTGACCACATTTACTTATAATTGCATAATTCAGTTAACAAGCCAATCTTTCTTTCAAACAAAAGATCCTGTTCCAAAACCATCAAGAGTTTAAAATCAGATTATACTGATTATTACAAGTTACAAGTTTTTTGTGACCTCAGCTATATAAGGCACAACAAATTTTCACTTCTAAGAAAATGTATTTTGAAGAAAATTTTATTTTCAAGAATATATATTTCAGATATATGCCTGGAAGAATTATGCTGCATGCTTATAGTTGGTGAAAAATTAAGTTTCAAAATAATAATGCTGGGGGAGTTAAAAAGGGTGTAGAGGTCTGGGGGAGTAGCTCAGTATTACAGGACTTACCTGGTATGTGGGAGGCCCTGGGCTCAAACCCCAGCACTACAGAAGTAAAACAAAAGGGTACTGAAGTTTAAACTTTTTCTTGAGCAAGCCTTCTACATGAATTTCAGGTTTATTATTATTAACAGTTCAGATGAACACGGCTAGAATCCCAGCACTCAAGAGGCAGGGGCAGAAGGATCAAGAGTTTGAAGCCAACTTGGGATACACAAACAAGACTCTGTTTTTCAAAAACAAAATAACAAGAAAAATACAGAAAAAATTAAGATTAAGAAGCTCAAAGGTTTGATTCACATCCCCTCAAAAAAGGACAAGAACTTTGGAAAAATGGTTGCTTCTCTACAAATGCTGGAACCTAAAGATTATTTCTAAATTATGAATGCCAGTACAAATCCTAAAAGGCCATGTAATAACTTTACAAATATTTCAGGTAAACAATTTTCAGTATACAGTATTCAGGGTAAAGACTTTTAAAAACAGATTTATAAAAGAAAATTACTTAAGAGAATTTTTTTTTTAAAAGCGGCAGTGCTAGGGTTTGAAGTTAGGGTCTCTTGTTTGCTAGGCAACTGTGCTCTACCACTTGAGCCACGTCCCCACACTTTATGCTCTAGTTAGTTTTTAAATAGGGTCTCACATTTATGCCTGAGCAACATGGATCATGGCACCCAGCTTTTTGTTGGTTGAGATAGGGTCTTAGAAACTTTTGACAGGGCTCGCCTTGAACTTTGATCCTCCCAATTTTCAACTCCCAAGTACCTAGGATTACAGGGATGAGCCACTGTGCCCAGCTATTTAAAACAATTTTACAGATGATTATAATTAGCAGTGATATAAAAGGAAAAGTTAACATCAAAGTAGTCTTATATTTTATAAAGTACATTCATAATATTATGTCACTTAGGCCTAAAACAACCATTTAATACACCTATCCTCATTTTAGCAAAGGGGTCTCTTGGGGGGACTGAACTCTCTCTTTTACCTACCACACTCTCCTTCACTTACCTGTGTTCATTTCTCCGTTTCACCTCTCCCAAACTGTGTATTTCTATGTACTTATGAATCTTTCCATGTGTTCTTCAAGAATGTTGGGAAAGTCTCTCATATACTATTCTGAAAACCATCATGATTTTAAAAAGGAGCAAAATAAGCATAGTAGTTACTACAAAAATAAAATCTGAGGACTCAAAAACATTTAGGAGACTAATCAATAACTCACAGGATAAAAATAATTGCTTTTAGTTTACACAGTCCTTGTTTCACTAATAGCTAAGGTCTACTCCAATTACATTCATAAAATGAAAAGATATAAAGTGTACAGGGAAGGCCCCCCAATACCCCAGTATTAACAAAATGACAAATTTAGAGTTCTGTGTCTGCTGGTTCCTTCTCAAGGACATGAAGTCATATGGCAACTGACAGGGAAAAAAACAGGCAAAAACACATACAATAAATTATCTAAACTGCTATCTAAGGGTTTTAAGACATCTAAGAATAGTGAGAATGAAAGGCAGAGTAAGAAAACAGAGATAGAATTAATTATGGTGTGACATTCTAAAGCAGAAAAGTGGCCCCAGGATGGGAATGTAAACCAATACAACCACTCTGAAAAAAATTTGGAGGCTACTTAAAAAGCTAGACATTGATCTAACATTTGATCCAGCAATACCACTCTTGGGGATATACCCAAAAGACTGTGACACAGGTTACTCCCGAGGCACCTGCACACTCATGTTTATTGTGGCACTATTCACAATAGCCAAGTTATGCAAACAGCCAAGATACCCCACTACTGATGAATGGATTAAGAAAATGTGGTATCTATACACAATGGAATTTTATGCAGCCATGAAGAAGAACGAAATGTTATCATTCGCTGGTAAATGGATGGAACTGGAGAACATCATTCTGAGTGAGGTTAGCCTGGCCCAAAAGACCAAAAATCATATGTTCTCCCTCATATGTGGACATTAGATCAAGGGCAAACACAACAATGGGACTGGACTTTGAGCACATGATAAAAGCGAGAGCACACAAGGGAGGGGTGAGGATAGGTAAGACACCTAAAAAATTAGCTAGCATTTGTTGCCCTTACTGCAGAGAAACTAAAGCAGATACCTTAAAAGCAACTGAGGCCAATAGGAAAAGGGGACCAGGAACTACAGAAAAGATGAGATCAAAAAGAATTAACCTAGAAGGTAACACAAACGCACAGAAAATCAATGTGAGTCAATGCCCTGTATAGCTATCCTTATCTCAACCAGCAAAAACTCTTGTTCCTTCCTATTATGGCTTATACTCTCTCTACAACAAAATTAGAAATAAGGGCAAAATAGTTTCTGCTGGGTATTGAGGGGGTAGGGGGGAGAGGGAGGGGGCGGAGTGGGTGGTAAGGGAGGGGGTGGGGGCAGAGGGGAGAAATGACCCAAGCCTTGTATGCACATATGAATAATAAAATAAAAAAAAGAAAAGTGGCCCCAGAAATAAATACACTTTACAAATCTTTACGATCTCGCATGACTTTACTCCAAATGCCTTAAATCTGTGATTAAAAATATTTGCTATCATTAATTAACCATGTTTACAATGGCAAATGGTATGAATCAGTGTTAGGCCATTTATATACATTATCTTACACAATGCTTATGAAGTAGGTAAGTTCCAATAGATTAATAAACAGAGACTCAGAGAGCTTAAGGAATATGCTCAAATTTGTATAAATATCAAGTTATGAAGCCAAGATTCAAACCCAGTAATGTTTGTTTCCCAAGACCTTCTACTCTACCAGAATGTCTCAAAGTGATGGCTTATGGTCCCTTATGGATACGACCAAAGAAACACTAAGGAATCACATTTAGAACAAACATTAGCAAGCAAGACTATGCCAAGTCAGAACATACAAAGTGTAGTAACAACTCAGTATCTTCATTAGTTTTTGACTCAGAATGGTTGTCGTGGCAGAAGTGATTGTTGTATGGTTTTGAAATTATTTATTTGTAGTGATACATGATTTGATTTATGCTCATAATGGACTATTTCTATAAATAGCAAATTTGAGAAGCTAATACAAAAATTTGTAAAAATTAGATCAATTCTGAAATTTGATATTCTTCTTCACCAGAGTAAACTGCATTCAACATATGTATTCAAAATCATCTGAATAGGAACAGAATAATAAATGTACATAGTTAGCTTTTTGATTCATACCAGAAAAATTATTTATCACAAAAGACTTGCCAAGAGGAACTTACTTTTTGTTTTAGTTCATCTTTAAACCAAAGTTATATATACATATATACACACACACATATATATGTGCATACACACGTGTGTGTGTATGTGTTTCCTTTGGTAAAGCTAATTTATTTCTCCATATTCAGAGTAAGAACTCTGAAAAAAGAAAGCAGATTTAGTGTCATTCTGACAAAGTTTTATTTCAACCAACAGGTTTGTATTTTTGTTCTTCTCTCTCACAATCAGGGTGCAACCTTTCCCTTCCCACGTTTCTGGGTTTCTTCTTGGATGGTGATAACCCTTTCCTTCACTTGTAATCATATGCCTTTCCAGACAAAAACATTTCCTTGAAAATCTATTCTCAAGTATTCTAAACCTTTTTTATCCTTGTGTCTCTGGTCAGAATTTCAAATGCATCATCTGTCAAATCCTGTACTCATGAAATCCTGCATAGTTTAAGCTCAATATGAATTTTTTAAAATCTAGGATCTTTACCCTAGATCTTTAGTTCAGAACCCACTCTCATCCAACTTATAATCAATGTTATCTCTTGGCTAAATACTGAAATATATTCTTCATACTGACCTCTTCAAAAGTGGCATCTTGAGACTTTCAGTTTTCTACAAAAAAAAAAATCCATGTTTTCCATCCATTTTCCTCAGAATTTACTCTCTAAAACTGTGAATTGCCCCCAACACTCTACAGAGTCACTCAGATTGAGATTCAATGAACTTGAAAAGCTAATCCCAATCTTTTTTCCATCTATTTTTTCCAGTATATGCTTAGGAAACACTGTTCACACTCCAATTAGAAACCCAGATGCTTGATCTGGGGATGATTGCATATAAACCATGGATAACTTTGGTTTCTTGGCATAAAATGGAAAGCCTGTACAATTTACTTGACATTTAAAAACAGGCATTCTACTCCTGACATCATTCAAGTCAATTCTGATACCTAACCATAAATTTAGTTATTAATGGTTACTAAGTAGCTCATTATGAGAACATAATGGCTCAGCTAAAACAAACAACTAGTTTTGAAACTCAAGTGTAAACAAAAAGATAATTTATTGATCATTCCCTCTTTTGAAGACGGTCACTCAATCCTTAACACTGATGAGCTTAAGTAAGTTTCTTCTTGCCTTACACAAAATTTTGATTTTCTCACCAGTATTTATTTCCACTAGAAAGGCATCTGAAAATATTAATTATATCATTACCTTACCTGATTTCTATGAAAATGCAATGGCTTTATTTTATATCTAACATGATACAAAAAGCGGTAAAGATACTGAAAATAATGACATAGTAGTTTTGCCTTTAATAGGAAACCAAACAAAAAATTTTGAGTATCTAGTAAACATAAGGCACTCACAGCAACCTTGTTCTTATCAGTGGAATGAAATGCTTGTGTATTTAGAAAATAAGGCTGAAAAGAATAAAGGTAAACTTTTATGATGGGAATAAAAGTAATGAATTATTATTACACATTATTATATGTGGTCAAAAATTTTTACTAGGAACACTATTCTGTCACTTCTGATATTCACATGAAATTTTATATCACATCTACTGATCTTAATAAAAACTGTCTTTAAGGGGAAACCATGGTCTTCAAAGGAACTTTTCTTCATGAAGCCTATTACCAATGTAAGCAACAATGTACATTTCTACACAAGAGCATAACATTTTAACTATCTTTTCAGGTATGATTAAATCCCTTCTTTCTTAAACATTTATCGCCTTCAGCCTGTAGTCTACCAGCTGATGCTATTTTATGTTAGAAATCACCCATCATGTCGACACTATGCTTTGTTGGTTAATGAGACCATTCCTCATGTTGGAAGTTGCTCTTTCATTTTACAAACTTAAATTGTGGTAAGTATTTGTTATAGACTTGAAATTGCATTTGTATTTCCCATACCAAAAGAAAATTCGGCTCATTCTTGCTGGGGCTTCTCTTTCTCAACCACTTTTTGTTCACTATTAAACCACTGCAAAATATAAATTCTATTCTAAAAACAATACTCTTTTCTCTTCAGAGAACTATAGGATACTAAGAATTTCAAGGAATCCTGTAAGTATGTAGGAAACCCAGTCAGGCAAGTACCTGTAAGTATCCATAAAAGAACCATCATTTTTCATCCTACAGACCACCAAACTCTCTGGAAAACCAATGTAGTGAATTTCACATCTATACTTACAAGCTGTGTGATAGGAACAAGTGATTAATCTTTCTGCTCCTTACTTTCCAAATTCAGAAAATGAAGACAGTATCTTGTAATTCTCCAGGCTTATTGGAAATGTTAAGTGAAATGATTCTTACTAGAGATTCCATTCTGTCAAAGCACACATTTTAAAAAAGTCTCAATATAAAACATTTTTATTTCCATAAGGATATTTGCTAAAGTAAGGAATCTTGACAAGTTATTGCAGGGTGACGGTTTTGGGTCTCTAAGAAAATGTATCCTAAGGGCTGGTGCAGTGGCTCATTCCTATAATCCTTGTTGCTTAGGTGTCAGAAATCAGAATTATCGTGCTTCGAGGCCAGTCTGGGAAAAAAGTTAGCAAGATCTCCATCTCAACAAATAAGCTAATGGTGGCACATGTCTGTAATTATATTTATATACAAGACAGAATCAAGTCAAACTGGGCTAAATTTCGTATGTTAGAAGCCATAGAGAAATAGGCTATTTTTAAACCTAGAAAAATGGTCTTATATCTGTACAACAAAATATAAATAAAATCTTCAGTAGAATGGCTGAACATGGTACATATCACTGATTTTTATATTCTTCTTTTGAGTACAATCTCCACAGTAATCAAGGATAACTGCAGCACTGTATAAATAAAAGACGTCTGAAGATCTTGGAAAATTGACTGGAAAATATGAATTTAAAGTCACTTAGGTCAGACACAGAAAGGAGCACAGAACTGGTTGCATGCAAACAGGGTACTTGGAAGACATTTCCAAATTAGAAAGCACTACGCGAACACAGAGAGAGGAGGAAGGAGAAGTGAACACTTGATAACCTAGGTGGGAGATTGAACACTTAACTCTTCACACATTCGAGTTCATTCTTGATTACTTTTCATAATTTCAGGTTATTAACAATCTAAAGAATAATCCTGAGAATAGGTTTACACATGAAAACAGTTCAACAGATTAAATAGCTTACTAGTTGCCTGGTAGATTCACACAGTGAAAATACAATGTGACTTTTAAATGGAATGTTAGACAATTATACTTTTTTTTACATAAAACAGAGATACTTTTCGGGTATTTCACTTTGAATAAACACAGAAATCAAAATAGCTATACAGCATCAGAAATAATGACAGTTCTTGAACTTCATTTACAATTGGGTAATATTCAAAAAAGGGTATCATCAACAGTATAACATCAGCTTAGTCACAAAATTTCTATTTGATACAAATCTTTCCCTATCTCAATTAGGTGATGCAACTCAATCTGGAGAGTGACTGGTTTATGAGAGGTTTACATGTTTTTGGTAGATCTGAAAAACTTAGAACCTCATGCAGGTATTAGGCATTTATGAAAAATTTTAGTCAGAAATAAAACTTTCAGTATAGATAAAAATCCAAATATTGCATAGGATGTAAGTAGCTAGATAACAGCTTAAGTCAGGATAGGACACAAACAGACCACAAAAAAAAATTGATGAAGACCCCAAAAGGGAAGCCTGACAAGGAAAGAGACACTGTGGAAAGGTGAGATGATGCTACTGTGCACATCTATTCTAAGAAAACCATAACATAAGACACTACCGATACTTTACTAGAACACAGGCAATTCATGCTCTGAAATTCTCGGACAATGAAGTGAGACTTTTTCAAATGAATTCATTACTGGTGGAATACATGGTATTGGGAACAAAAGGAGACACTAAGAGTGATGGGGAAGACTGGAAATTCCTGCCCACCTGATCCTCTGGGCTATGCATTTAGCAAACTACTCATAGCAACTGGCAGGGAAAATATGCCCATATGTTCATACATTAAACACTAAATGTCAACAGCTATGCTGACTTTTAATATTTTTAAAAACAGACAAGACACACTAGTGATTGTCTTGAGGCATGAGGTGATAGAAATAATTAAGTGCTAAGAGTAATCAGTCAATCAGAAATAAGTACTACACACAAACAATTAGTAAATTTTGCACAGTGAAGTCTTAAGCAAAGAACATTATCAGTTAAAGTAAAGAAACACAATCAGACTCTACCAGCATGCTGTGTTGTATTTTGCCCTACTCTGTGTGTGCATGTGTATACTTGCAAGTGTTTTCTGCACAGCAGGTGCGTCCCTACTCTGTTTAGGCCAAATATGTAGTGGTGCTTCATTTGCTCCACAGTCAGAATAGATAGAAAAGGCAAGAATTTTTTTCCCTAGGTGATGGTAGGTGATATTTGTGGACTCCTTTATCTTGGTCATGTAAACACAGAGTACGTTCCAGCTCACTGAGTTTTACACACACACACACACACACACACACACACACACACACACACACATATTTCGACTTAGTACAAAGTCTGAATGTTTAGTTAGCTAGAAGACTTTTTCCATCCTGTGATTGATTTGATCCCTATGGCACTTTCACTTCCTTTATTTTATATAATCACAAATTATATGGCTTTGTCTCAATAACCCTAATAATTGAAGTTCTACACAGGAAACTTTATTACTATTTTAAAACATACCTATAAACCACTGCTGAGGTTACATAAAGTAACAGCCTCACAGACCTGCTGATGAGGGCAGCACAGTGCTTTGGAGAAGGCACTTCTACTAGGGAGATTAACTGCCAAATTAAATGCTTTAGAGGAACAGGGAGGAAGAAGTGCATTCTGTGCATGTTAATCCAGCATGCCTCTTCACACATACAAATTTATTCTTTATTATTTTTCATACTTAAGTGGTATTCGAGTAACTTGGTTCTGATGTGAAAACACAGCACAACAGACTAAATAGCTAACTAGTTGCTTAGTAGATTCATATGATGAAAATCTAGTATTTCAAAATCGAAGGTAGAGAATTACATTCTATGCATAAAATGTAGAAATTCTTCTGATACTTAACTTCAAATTAACAGAGAAATAAAACAGCTATAAAAATCCATCAAATTCATGATAGTTTTTTAACTTTAAAGGGTATCATTGACAAAATAGCAATAGGATATCAATCACACGATTGCTAATCGGCACAAATCTCTATCTACTTCAAAAAGTAAAATGCTCAATGTGGACAGTGATAAATATTTGATATGCCCCTCCCTGCAAAAAGAAGAGTATACCAATTCTATTGCAAAGAGAAGGGGGAAAAAAGAAGAAAAAAAAAAAAACCAGAAAGTAGAGGTGATTAAATTGGAAGATCTTAGTGGAGGTGTGGTAGCATGTACCTGTAATACCAGCTACTTGGGAGGTGGAGAGATGAGTAATCTGAAGCGTGGGCAAAAGTATGAGACCATATCTGAAAAACAAATTAAAGCAAAAAGGGCTAGGGGAACGGTTCAAGTGGTACAGTGCTTGCCTAGAAAGTACAAGGCCCTAAGTTTAAAAAAAACAAACAGTGCTGCCAAAAGAAGAACAATCTTGAATTCACACAAATGATTAAATCATACAGGAAGCCTGTTGAGGTGGAGGAAGCACACTTCACACTGTGCCTTCCACTGAATGCAATTAAACCCTGGATGGCAGCTGGGCACCTATGGCTCACACCTGCAATCCTAGCTACTCAGGAGGCAGAAATCAGGGAAATTGTCATTTGAAGCCAACCCAGGCAAATAGTCTGTGAGACCCTATCTAAAAAGAAAAAAAAAAACAAAACCCATCATAAAAATGGGGTCATGGAGTGGCTCAAGGGGAAGGCCCTGAGTTCAAACCCCAGTACCACAAAAAAAAAAAAAAAGCACAGATGACACTTGGATATGACAAGAAGCATGTAGTCAGAAGACACACAAAGTCTGAGAATCATAGTCTTAGAGCAGCTTTCTTCTGTTTGGTGTTGGCATAATTCCTTATAATTTCGAAAACATACACCACAAAAAAAGGATGGTGGAGTGGCTCAAGGTGTAGGCCCTGAATTCAAGCCCCAGGACCAAAAAACAATAACACCCAAAAAAAACCCCTGGACTGGATGCACACAGCAACTATAGAAGAATTCTTAAAAGGGAATGGAAGTCGGCAGACAAGACGGCCAAAGCAGGACTAATAGTTCTGGCAGTGAGAGTTCACTGTTTTTGTCAGTCACTCTCATCCTTGGTCCTGGACTCACAGGCACCACAACTCTGGAAAGGGTTCACAAGAAACAGACAACACAAACTATGAGAGAAGTCTTCTTGTTGGGGTTTAAGGAAAGAAAATGAAGACTAGGGGCAGAAGGTGGGATAGGGAATCTTAACAACAGGTAGAACAAGGGAAATGGTGGCTGAGGGGATAAACATGTTTTTAATTTTGATTTTGGTGCTGGCTACAGGACTCCAGGCATATGACAAAAAAAAAAAAAAAGCCAGAAAACTAATCAAAACAAATAAAAAACATGGTTTTGCTACATTTGATTTTAAAACTAACAAAATTTAGAAAAGAACACATCATCTAATATTTCAACTTGTAAAAAAATAGAGGAATTATAAAAGTGAGTATCGGTGATTCAAAAGGGTATATTATAATCTAATAAGACACATTTTCAAATAGTACAATACAAAACACTATCTAAAAACTAAAAATACAATAGATTAAATAGCAAACTTGAGATGGCAGAAAAATCAGTACACTTAAAAGATGAATCCAAAGAGGTCAACAAAGTCAAACAAAACAACAAAATCAAAGGGAAAAAAAAACTCTAGAGAACAATGAAAGGTTCCCAGAGACTTGGGAATCGATAGCAAATGGTCTAATACACATATAACTTGAAATCCCAAATGAAAAGCACCGGGAAAAATGATGGCTCACAACTTCCACAAGTTGGTGGAAACAGTAATTTTACAATGAAGAAAAGCAGGCCTAGACGCAACTGCAGGAACTCAAGGAATAGAATCTTGACGACAGCCCAAGACCCCATTCTATACGCTACAGAATGAGTAACAGCTGACTTGTCAGAGAACCTAGTATTACAATTAGAAAGTAATATTTCCTGACCTGAAAGTAGAATAAGGAATGAACTATAAAAGTTTTTCAGTAGCACACCTGTATTACAAAAAAAAAAAAATGTTGCAAGGCATTTTTCAGGCTGGTGGAGAATGATTTAAATGGCAATTTGAATCTGTGATGAGCTCAGGAAATGGGAGGCATGTGGGTAAATATAAAATACTACACATGCTCCCTTCTTCTCTAGATTCATTTAAGATATATGAATCTCAAGAAAAATTCTAGCACTGTAACATTCATCAGCATTGAAAATGTCCATCGTGTTATCAGTATTCAACAGTTCACATACAATTCTTTGGATTTATCCTATTTGGAGTTTGCTCAGCATCTTCAATCTATAGATTTAGGTGCGTCACTAAACCCTGTATGGTTTTAGTCATTACCGCAAATATATATT